TACAGCTTTATGGCCCGCTTCTCCACAATATAAACACAAGTTTTGTTCAAACCGTCGCTTCCTTTCCTCAGCTGTGAGGGGTTTGAAACGTACCGCATCAATTTGCATGGGTTCAGGATCTATGGAGTGATTCTCTGGACCTTTTGAAAATGTAGCAAATACTCCATCATTTCTCCAGCCTGATCGTCTTTCTTGTCGTAATTCAAAGAGGCGGTTGTCACAAATAATTGCCTGAGATATAAGTTCTTCTAAAGTATCCGCCTTAGGCATGGTGATCAATAAGTTCTTGACATCATCTCTCAGTCCATATCAAAATCGTGTCATGAACGCCTTATCATTCCAATCAAGATCACATGTAAGCTGTTGAAATTCTGCAGCATAGATTGCAGCAGAACGTGATCCTTGTCGCAGATTTTGTATCTTTCTTTCAGCCACTCTTTCTCGATCGCTATCTCCAAATGCAGCAGTAAGTCTCTCTATGAAAGCCTCTAGGTCGTACAATATTGGAGAATCCTTCTCCAATAGTGGAGCAAACCAAGAGCGAGCATTTCCTAATAGAAGAGTATCTATGAAAGCAACCTGGGTAAATCCATTCGGATAACGAGAAGGATATAAGCGTAGGTAAAGCCGTATTTGTTGCACAAAACCTCGGAAGTTGGCTTTTGTTCCGTCAAACTTGTCTGGCATACTCGCTTTTGGTTCTTTCGTACTAATCCTTGAAGTATCCATAGGGGTCGTATGTGACACATGTCTTGCTTCTCTCAGTCGAATAATCTCTTGTTGTAGGCTATGAATTTCGCGTCTAGCTTCTTCGGTCACTAGATCAATTTGAGGTTCTTTACTTGGATTGCGAAGAAATGCAATCTCTTTTCGTACACTATTCATAAGAGCTTGAAGATCTGCAAGAGTTGCCACTCTATTGTCTACTTGTGGAGATGCACTGTCTATGACCTGGTCTACTTCCATATTTAGAGAATAGATGGATTAAAATTTTGAGAGAAGAAGAAATTACTAAGTCTCTTGGAAAAAATTGTAGCACTACCTGTCACTAAAACCTACTCGGAGAAAAGGAAAAAAAACACTAAATGATTTCAGTTTTAGAGGAGGGTAATCCGCAACCTCTAAAAATGCCTCAATGCTTTCGAGAAGAGGGATAATCCGCACTCTATCAAGAAGACAAAGTTCTGAAATCGATGTTAACAGTCTTTTTTACTAGCTATCCTAAACAAAAAGAAGGAATTAATATCAGTCCAAGAGAGGGTAATCCGCAACCTTTAGAACGCTCAAGTATCTCCAAGGAAAGGGGTAGTCCACTCTCTGCCTCAAAGAACTAAGCTCTGATATTGTGATTGAGAAAATATCAGTTTAGAGGAAGGTAATCGGCAACCCCTAAAGCGCTAGAATACCTTCAAGAAGAGGGGTAATCCGCTCTCAAACAAGAAGGATTCAGCTCTGATATTAAGATAAAGGTAGTCTCGACAAACTGTCACGGACCAAAAATACAAACAAGAAATCTAAACAAGAAGTTCAAGAAGAAATGACAAGAACTAGATTATCAGATGAGTACAAGAGCAACGCCAAGAGAATTGAGCTAGAGCTTCAAGAGATGTGTTGTCGAGACTGAAGAACTCTTCAGCCTCGACTCCTATATATACTACTAGCCTATGGTTCTAAGGAAGCGCATCAAGAAGCTTCCCAAGAACTATGAAGCTTCTCGAGCAACTACCCAAGAGCTAGGAAGCTTCTCAAGTAACTTTCTAGAATCTACTAGAATATTCTAAGAATCTTCTAGAGCCTTCTAAGGGAATCTTTAGGAAATCTTCAAAGAATCTTTAGGGAATTTTTAAAGAATATTCTAAGAGAATATTCAAGGAATCTTCTAAAAGTTTCTAAAGACTTCTTTCTAGAAGATTCTAGAAACTTGTCTCTAGAAAGGTCTAAGGACTATGTCCCTAACAGATGGTCATGATCCATACCGTCCATGCAAGGAGGAGGAGGAAATATTGGAAGATCAATATCCATACCTCACAACGGTGTCATACTATAATTACTTACAGTATGTAAAAATTAGTGAAAACATGTAATATGTTTATAAGTCTTAATGTGAGTTAGAATAGTTAGTATGTTAATTTAAAATGAATTGAAATAAGAAAAATTATTTAGAAGTTAATCTAGTTTGATCATAGAGTTTATATTATATAGGATTTAGATAGTTAGTATAAAGATTAAGGGAAGGGAGGAGTTAAAAGATGAAAATATAACTAGAAGGAGGTTTATTGGGAAGGATGAAAGTAAGGCATGGTTGGATGAAGACAAGGGGTGAAGAACTTCATCCCTATTGGTCGAATACCATGCCCAATGGGCTTTGAGGAGGCTGCCCGAGGCCATATTAGAAATTAGGGTTCCTCTTTCGAGGCCATTCGAACTTTTGAGGCTAGAATCAGAAGGTTTAGGGTTTTGGGTATAATTTGGGTGAAGATTTTGTGTGATTTCGAGTTTTTATTGAAAAGATATGAATGTTCAAAGATAAGGTGTCAATTTCGTACCTACTGTCACTTCTTTTGGGCATCACATACAAATACGGAGAGCAACGGAAGATCGGCGACTGGATTTGGAGGGAGAATTTTTTCGGCTACACATTCTACTTACTGTATAGTGAATTCTAAGATTGAGTGAAGGAGTTATGAGGCGTTGAAGATAGCACTTGTAATTCGAAGGCAGTAAGTATATTGTTTTGTTGCTAGTTATGGGTGAAGCCATATCTTGAGTTTCTGGACGAATTTTTGGCTCAAAATTTCCACAAGTGTGTGTAATTGGGTTAAGAAGCTTTAGATCAAAGTTTCATAGTATTTGAATAATTACTTTGTGAGATATGAAGGAAGTTGTACACGGGTGTAAAAAAGCTAGGGTTTGAAGCTACAATTAGGGTTTTGAAGATATCACAAGATCCAAGATGAATTTACGGTTGAATTTTGGTGTGGTAGTTTCTAAAGATATATCAGTACTCCATGTTAAATTTGGAATTTTTTAGACGGTTAGATCGTAAGTTATGAGCTATTGAACTTCGGGAAAAATTCCTCATAAGGATATATAAGTTTTTTATAACACCTTAGGAAGTATTTTGGTGTTCTTTGGATTTTAAGGCTTGTATATTGATGTAATTGCTCCAAAGGAGAGGAGTTTATATATATATAATTGTTACCCTTATATTTCAAACTTGATTGAGTATTTAATGACAGCCAGAAGCCCAGCGCTTTCTTGAGGCAAACTCTCTCTACCCCGACAACAGTTGGAGCACTTTTGTATTTAGCTACATCTACAAGACTTGATATTACATTTGCAGTTAGTGTTCTTGCAAGACATAGTGCACGTCCAACACTACGACATTGGAATGGCATCAAATATTTATTACGTTATTTAAAAGGTACTGAAGACTTGGGATTATATTATACAAAATCTGTAGATCCAAAATTGGTTGGATATTGTGATGCAAGATGTAAATCTGATATTGCAACAGCTAAATCTCAAACAGGATATGTATTTTTAAGACATAGAGCTGCAATATTATGGAAATCAGTGAAACAAACAATAACTGCAACTTCATCCAACCATGCAAAAATTATTGCCTTACATGAAGCATCTCGAAAATATATTTTGTTGCGATCAATTGATAAATTTATTCAAACAACCTGTGGATTTTCATATGATGATTCTCCAACTATCTTGCATGAAGATAATAGTGCTTGTATTGCACAGATGCAAGTTGGTTTCATTAAAAGCAACAAGACAAAGCATATTGATCCAAAGTATTTTAGTTATATTCATGACTTGATTACTAATCAAGTACTTATAATTAAGAAAATTGAATCTACAAATAACCTTGCTGATCTCTTCACCAAAGCTCTCCCATTAAGCAAACATCATTGACTTACTTATGGCATTGGTATGCGGCGACTTGCTTTTCTTGAATAAAAAAGTTAATGAGCTCTTTAAATAATTAAAGAAAATGATGTTATACTCTTTTTCCTTCATCTATGGTTTTGTCCTTAAATAAAATAAGGTTTTCTTAGATAAGATTTTAATGAGGCAACAATTCTTGATCTTACAAGATCACAGAAAAGTATAGATCATAAATCTATATAAATTTTATATTATGTAAATATTATGATGAGCAAGGAGGAGTGTTGAGATCATTAAATGTAGTCGACGCTCTCCATAATATTTATTGTAGACTATAGTAATTACTGTAGCTACAGTATTTAGAGTCTAGTGGAGAAGTATTGTTCATCCTCTTATCTTCTCTTTTCTTGTGTACGAGACACAACCAGATCAATAGATTTTTGTGTGTATGACTTACTACTACTCTTGTGTGTGTATGACTTACTACTACTGGTGTGTGTGTATGACTTACTATTACTCTTGTGTCTTTCTAAACATTCTCAACAAGATTCTTATGCAATGTTCATTTGCAGCCTATGCTTTAGCCAAACAATAGTTGAACTCTTTATTGATTAATCGTTCTACAACTGGAAACTTATAATTAAGAATAACTAATTGACTCACACCATAGGCTGAGTATGCCTGCAAGTAGTACCTAAGATCAAAGCATTTTTCAAGGTTTTTGAAAATCCCCATCTTCTTGAACATTGTTGTATCTACACAAGATCCAAGCCTACCATTGATTAGGCTGATGATATGGCAGTCAAGGTCACAGATGATCTACACATTCACAAAGTTTGAGTTTTAAATCTCATAATGTCTGTTGTTTTTCAAAACATTGTGGTATGATGTTAGGCGATGTGATATAGAGATAGAAAGAAGAGAGCTAAGGCAAACAATGTGATTTTTGATATTTGACGCACCCCTCTTGATATTCTGATTTCAAAATCACCCACCTCACAACAAGACAACAGGATAGGTGATTTGATGAAGTATTAAGTGAAATTTCAAAATATCACTGGATACTTCAAACAAATATCACCCAAAAAGGCCGCATAGACTAGTATCAAGAGTACATGCCTTAACTATGAACTCCCAGTCTTTTAGCTAGACAAACACACTAATAAGCCATGAAAATATGAATCAACCTTAAGATTGAGCAGCTCAACATATACAAACGACCTCGAGTATAAAACTGTGAATCGAATTGCAGCGTTTAATTCCCAACCCGAACTGGTCGACACAGCATTCAGGCAGGGGGACCGGGAAAAAACTGCCACTCGCACTGGATGCATATTCATTTGTACAAACAAATATTAACTACTCCTAATATCCTAAAACTCAAACCCCAGCTCACCCTATAACGATTTCCTGAAGCGTTGTGGCAGATAGAATCCTTAATTATACAAGTCGTCTTCGTCAGTTGCTCCTCCAGCAAACGCAGACACCGTCCCTGCAGCACCATTTGCAGCAGTCCCGGAAGCAGTGGCTGGTCGTTCTGGAAAACGGAACTCTGAACCAATGCCTCTAGATTGTTGCAACGTTTGGGCAAAAGCTTGGTACTTGCGGATGTCGGCATCACTAACACTCCTGCGAGCGAATTTCATGGACTCTTCAAAGTGCGCTGCTTTGATCTCTGACACTTCATCGGTATCATCCTCTTCCATTGCTTCTGGGTTCTCAGCTCTCTTTTTTTCCTTTTCAATATCCTGCACAGAGGCATCGGAAATCCAAGTCTTAGGGAGAGACGTGGAATGAAATTGCTAAAATCTCAACAACAAATCTAGGAATAAGACGTGCAAATCTAATTGAAATAACAAAGCTCCAGAGTTGTCCATATACATACTTTTTCAATATTTTCACGAATTGCGTATTTACAAGCCCGTTGACAAATTTCGGTGATATCAGCACCACTGAAGCCCGTAGTGTGGCGAGCAAGTGCCTCCAGATCGACTTCCTTAGCAATGGGCGATTTGCGCAAACATGCTTGGAAGATCCGTAACCTGGAAGCTTCATCAGGAAGTGGGATGTAGATCAGTTGGTCCAATCTTCCCGGTCGCAATAGGGCAGAGTCAATAATATCAGGTCGATTCGTAGCACCTATAATGAAGACCGTTTTCTTTGCATTCATGCCGTCCATCTCTGTGAGCAGCTGGTTGAGTACACGATCTGCTGCACCACCGGCGTCACCGCCGCTGCTTCCTCTTTGAGTAGCAATGGAGTCGAGCTCGTCGAAGAAGAGCACACAAGGAGCTGATCCTCGGGCCTTGTCAAAAATTTCTCGTACATTGGCCTCGCTCTCTCCGAACCACATAGTCAAAAGCTCAGGACCTTTAACACTGATGAAATTAGCTTGACACTCGTTGGCAATAGCCTTTGCAAGCATTGTCTTACCACATCCAGGTGGTCCATAAAAGAGGACTCCCTTGGAGGGTGACATACCAAACTTCTCAAACTTTTCGGGGTGCTCCACTGGATATTGCACAGTCTGGGAATAAGAACACGCTCTGAGTGAAATACATAGAAAGCTTAACCATAAGCTAGAGGTAACTACGTCAGGCAAATCAAGACGAGAAAGGAAAGAAAAAGCTTTTCACTGGTGACATCAGGAAAAGAAAAAATAAATTGAAAAAGGAATATACCTCTTGGAGCTCCCGTTTAACATTATCAAGGCCACCGACATCTTCCCAGGTGACATTGGGCACCTCAACAACTGTCTCTCGTAGTGCAGAAGGATTGCTTGTACCCAACGCAGTCTGGAAGTGCTCGTTTGTAACTGCCATAGAATTAAGGATTTCAGCATCAATGGAATCTTCCTCCAGGTCAATTACATCCATCTTCTCTCTAATACACTGGAGTGCAGCTTCGGTGGCCAACGCTGCCAAATCTGCTCCGACAAAACCATGAGTCTCCTTTGCAACTTTCTCAAGATCGACGTCTTCAGCAAGCTTCATATTTTTGCTGTGAATACGCAACACCTCCAGTCGACCGACTTCGTCAGGTACTCCAATGTCGATTTCGCGATCAAATCGGCCAAACCTACGTAAGGCAGGATCGATACTGTTAGGGCGGTTGGTAGCGCCCATTACAATCACATGTGCACGAGACTTCAAACCGTCCATCAGTGTCAGCAACTGAGAGACAATTCTCCGCTCCACCTCTCCTTGAGTTTTCTCCCTCTTGGGGGCAATGGAATCGATCTCATCAATGAAAATGATGGCTGGAGCATTCTTCTCGGCCTCCTCAAAAGCTTTCCTGAGGTTGCTCTCACTCTCTCCCGCTAGCTTTGACATAATTTCAGGTCCATTGATAAGAAAGAAGAACGCTCCAGTTTCGTTAGCCACAGCTCTTGCGATTAGAGTCTTCCCAGATCCAGGAGGACCAAACAGAAGGATTCCTTTCGGTGGCTTCACTCCAATAGACTTGAAAAGCTGGGGGTGGCGCAGTGGAAGTTCAACAAGCTCTCTGATCTGTGCCATCTGGCGACGGACTCCTCCGACATCATCGTAACCGACCTCATTCAAGCGCTCCTCATCCTCCCTCCTCACAGGCTCACCCTCGCAGAAAATTTCCGTGTCGGGTGCCACGATACAGTATTCAGCTGGATCGGTTTCGATAATTTTGAATTCTATGCTCCTCATTCCTCCACGAACCAGGAACAGGTCCCCTTTACGTACTGGTCGGTATGCTTCCATAAAGTAAGCTGTAAATGAAAATACACAAGTATAGCTAATTGGTAAACTCTGGATCTGATGAGAACATCTCTACACAACCACAACAACGTGCAGTATAGATTATTAAAGTTTGTATTTGAATAAATAAAGAAAGAAAAGGAATAAGAAGAAGAAGGTGAAGAAGGTGGCTCGGGGTTTACATACGTTTGAGATAGGCATCAAAGATGTTGCCGGTAACGCCTTCGACTGAATCGTCCAAAGGTAGAACGTGGATACGCTTTCCATACTTCACATCGGCACACTGGTGCACAGAAACGACATCGCCGAGGCGCACTCGAAGGTTAGCCCGAACGACTTTGTTCATCCGAATCTTTGGCTCCTCGCAGGTCTCATCCGCCAACACAATGCAAACAGTGTCTTTCCGTTTCTTGCCTTTGACCAGGACTGTGTCGCCTCTGAAAAGCTGCAACTTGTCCATGGTCTCTGTGTTAAGAGCAACGACAGAGTTGTCATCGTTCACAGCCTCATCCACAATCAAACGATTGGCAGCTTTCTTACGTTCAAGGATTGCAGATGTAAAGTCTCTCTTTGTCCCCCTCCTGCACCCATTTCATAGAACAATGAATTATTAACATGGTGAGAATTAGGCAAACCGTCGCTTAGAAAGCGACACTTGCTGTGACAAGATCGTCAAGAATGCAGCAATGCAACTGCAAAAAATTTAAAGGAAACTGATGGATTCAACTTAAATGAAGCCACGGTTAGTTCCTTTCCTAGCCAACTAATGACTTCTTCAAATGAAAACAAAAATTGTATGCTCTGAAAACACAGTTCAAGTATCAAACGGCATGGTTGAGACGGAAGAGTGCTATCCGAGGCTAATAAAGAAGTGACAACCAAGAGCATCAGACCCATCCATTCCCTAACTGCGTTGTACCCTAACCCTAAAAAAAACTATCGTCAATATTGTCAATATAAACCCTCCGATCCATAGTGCCGCAATTCTGGAACAATCAATTGACGAGACACAAAACTGCCTCTGGCGAGGTGAACGCAAACACATCACAGGAGAACTACCGACCACGGACACGAACCATTCAAAATTAACCGCTGATTACGTATGCTTCCCAACAGACAAATCCCAGGAACTCTCATTGGCACACGCCTTTGCAAATGCTCAATTAGAAAAATAAACGCCGCATGCACGGAGACCAAAACACAACCTTGCAAATCACTCAACCACACGATCGAGTAATTTATCACAACAAGCAACCAATACATACTACAACAATAATCTTCAACCAAATCAACATGAAACGTCCAACTTATTAGGAACCTACCCTTCCGGAGCAGGAGGAACATCCTCAGGCTTCGTGCCAGAACCAGAAGAGGCCATCTTTACACAATCTCCCAAACTCCACCACCTTCTTCTCTTCCAGCAAACCTGCACCTGGCTCACAAGAATACCTGATATTCAAATCCCAAACCTCTCAAACCCTCATAATGCAAATACTTTTAGTCGTTACGTATCCGATAAGACAGCCATGGGGCAAGTAGTGCTACGTGATGCTTCAATACTTGTCAGATAAATTACACGCAATGCAGACATCCCAACCCTTCAAATAGCGTCGGGGGTCACCTCGCGCACGTCACGCGAGATGCAAGCAAGATGAAGATTTGCAACGTGGAACACCGCCTTCCGGCCTACTAACGATCACACATATGTAAGATAGAAGCCCTCCTCGCGGCAACTTACGAGTGATTGATTCGAGTCAGTGGTAGACCAGCTCGACAATTGCTTGAAGAGCCTCCAACCTTTGAACACCACCCGACCGCGGTCAAAGACCGGATTGCAAGGCCACCAAGAGCTCTCAGTTCCAGGTGCAAGCAATCCGGAGGGGCGGACACCGCAATGACACTGGAGTAAAGCCTCAGTCCTTCTCCTTTCGTCTTTTAACTTCGCAAGTTCATCGCGTCGCTCCCTGTCGTTCTCGTTGTCCCCACTCCATCACGCCTGATGATTGTATTTGTGCAGTAATCTTTTCCACGTTAAAATAAGACGAAACTTTCTGGAAAAAGACAGAACCGAACCGAAGTCGGCTCAGGACTGCTGAACGCACTTCAAATCGCAGCCACACTCATCCCTTCCAGTTACAAAAATTGTGAGCTCAGTTTCGGAGAACAAAATTGCGGATGATTGTTACGAAGCTTCAGATATTCTGTGCGGGGATTTCACTTTTTGTCTGTGTGCATAGAAGTTTAGCATGCGAACTGAGGATTTGTATTCGAGATAGTGAGGGGAGGAAGACGCCGCGGCAAGAGGTTCCGCAAAAGCACGCAGACACAGAAGCGGCGCCATGTCGCATCCTCCATATTTAAAGCTTGGCCGTAGAAAGAAGTGATGGACATTCTGGCGCCGCACTCCTCTTTGTGCTGTGTGCTGTAACAGAACGGGGCCATGGTCGACTCGGACATGGCAACGGGGCTTCCTCCATCGCCACCATTCTTCGGAGAGGGGAAGCCAGTATGAGTAAGCCATGCACCAAGAAGAGCCGTCGCCTCGCAAAGAGCACCGCTAGGGAGGCATCCATTCAGCATCGATGAATGAACTATCATCTGTTGGAAGAATAACATATGAGTGGCGGTTTTTTCATCCAACGTTGTGCTGCACTATTATGCGTGGTGTTTGGAAACTATGCTTCAAATGCGGTTCTTCGAGTTCTATACGTGCAATTTCGTTTCGCTTGATTTAGATAGGACGATTGTGTGTTTTTTGGAATATACATTCATATTTTAAAGTTTTAATTAAATTTGTATAATTTTAAGGAATTGTTAAAGGCGCATAATTTTGAGGAATTGTTGCTTGCATTACAATTTCTTATGGGATATTGTGGAGAAGGTTGGCCATTATTGCATACTTGCTTTCAAGTGGAGGAAGTATTGGGAGTGAGGATTTAGTGTGTATACACAAGTAGAGAGTTACATAAAAAAAAGTGAAATTAGGTACAAATAGAAAACAACAAAGAAGAGTTGGAGTAGACATAAGTAAAGAGCATCAAGGGAAGAAAGTGGCATGAGAGAGCACTAAGAGAGCAAAAGTTGAAGAGAGAGCCTAAGTGTACCCACATACATTGTGGCCTTAACAATATATGGATATTACTTTAGCAACTATCTAATTTTATTTAAAGATATAATATAAATCTATTTTATAATATTTATTATAATTTTTTTTATTTTACTTTATACCTATATTCAAATTTTGTGTCTAATTAAATAATAATAATAAAATCTATCTACAAAATTAAAAATATGAATATCCAAATATGTGTCATGCATGCTGAACACTATTATGCATCAATAAAATACAAATAATGAATTTTTTTGTAAATAAAGATTGACATATACAAAAAAATTGAGTGTCAAAAATCATCATCAAGTATGCAATCAAATATTCATTAAAAATATATTCTTAAGGAAATGTGAAGTATCTAAATACAACTCAATCATGCTATCTCTCACTCCACAAAGAGAGAATCTAAAAATGCAAGTATGTAGAAAAAACTCTAAACTTTACTCAATGGCTAAATTACCATAGACAAGCAAAATCTTACAACTATGAGCTTTCTCTCTTAAAAGCACTTACAACACTTGATTTAATAAGATTATCAAGTCAAGTAGACTTCTCTACATCAATCATCAAACCTTAGTTGATGTTAACAAGGTTAACTAATATGAAACACTAAATGAATAAAAAAAAATCTACTACACTAAAATAGACTAAATCCATTTGACATGGTTTGGCATTTAATACCATATCATATAACAAAATCAATAAAGATTGTATCATGTTTTTATTTATTTTTCTTTTCAAATAGATATTTAATTCTATTTTTGATAAATTAATAATATTAGTACCATCAAATATGTAGAGTAAGTAATTCAAGTTAAGAATCAATCTTCTTATCATAAATCTAAGCATAATCAAGATGAATAAAATTATGATAGTAGCAAAATGTCATTCAATATTCGTATTATATTCTTAGAATAAGATGAGTGTGTGTTATTTTATTTTTCATTTTATGATTATATTTTAATTTTCATATAAAAAATAATATTTTTATTTATATTTAATGTTTTCATTTTTGTAGAATTTTTTCTTTATTTGATTTGGATTTAGATCAAACAATATGTAATTATTTGAATCTTATTTACACATATGTTTTATGACTTTTTTTAATATTTATTTTATTATGATATGTTAATCTTGTCAAGTTACCATGGTAATGTTATCAAAATATCATTTAAATCCACATATAAAATATAAAAATATTTGAACTGCATGCTTGAAGTCAATGTTTTTTTTCTTCCTTTACTTCCTTTAAAAAATACCATTTATATATTTATAGCTAACCTAATTGTCAGATGTTACTTAGTTAGCATCCTGCAAATTGTTGTGATAAACTTGTTCAGAATTGAATTATAAAAATCAGTATGTAGGTTGAACTGAAACTATAACTTTCAAAATGTACACATACATAAATATTTTAAATTTTCTCAAAAAAATACTGCAATTGAATTCTTTTCCGTACATGTAGCCCACTTAATGTAATTTCAGATTAGGTTCTGATTGTACATATTACTCACAGGTCTTCAGGTTAGTTTGAAACCATGTTATTCTTCGTGCTTAATGTTATGTAATTACACCAAGAAGTCATAGCTTTTTATGTGAAAATTTAAGTCTTTAAATTTATTGTATGAAATCTTGAATTTCCAAATAATATTGGAATGATCAAAAAATAACTGTGAATTTTTAACAAAGCTTGGCAAAAATAAACGAAAATGACTATGAGTAAAAATAACATGAGTGCAAACTTTTTAGTTGCAGTCAATCTATCAACATCAATTATTGTTGAAATATGATTATTTGATCAAGGTCATGTAAATAAATAAATGACATGATAATTATTTATATTTTATTTACCATAATTAAATGATGGATCAGGATACTGTAAATCTTCTGCACAAAGTAGATTTAATGCTAATTCGACCATACTCATGTTAATATTCATGAATGAAAAATAAATAAATAAGGAAATAAATAAATTATAATGATTATATTTATGTGTATGTGTATCATATGTCTTGACATTTTATTTTTATTTTTTATTAAGCAATAATGACTTATGTGGTTTGTAATCAAAAGTTCTTCAGCAAAGTTGTTTTATATTCTATGTTTACTATTTGTCACAATATGAATTTTTGTGATTTGATAGTTTATAAGTTTTAAATAAACACAACATTTTTTGAGTAAGTCATAATATTTTATTGTAAATTAGATATGGGTATATGTGTGTGTGTAAATACACTCCAGAATAAGGTAACATCTTCAAAAATGCAAAGAATGGCTGGATGTTATTTAACAATAATAGCACAACAGAAATTAATAATGATGATATATTTCTTATTTTTATTTTTTGATACTTGAAATGAAATTAAAAATTAAAATATCAAAGAAAAGTATTTTTCAAAGCCATTTAAATTCAACTTAAACACAAATTTACAGTTTTACCATTCCTTCTGAACAGCAATTGATAAGAAGTGAAAGACGTTGGACTTAAACTTTAAGGTAGATCTTAAAAGCTTGCTACAAGTTTAGAAAATGAAAAAAAAGTTTTCTTCTATGTCATGCTTTTATGAATTTGTCAAGAAAATAATAACATATATTTATTTTTTCATAATAAGTAATTGAATATATTTGATGATGATGCAGTTTTTATGCAAACTAATTAAAATGAAGTATTTTTTAATAAATAAATAAATACTGTTTATGAACAAAATTATCCGAAATTAGGAAAGTTGATACACATTTAAAAAATCCACTTTTTATTAATAAAAAAATTAACACTTTGACCTAATTTTTTGTTAAGAAAGTATATATTTTTGATCGAATGACAAAATAACAAATTTTCTTAGCAATTCCAAAGAGATTTTCATGGATTCTAGAACCAAGTGCGAAAGGAAGCTTCAGCAACGAGGAGTTGAGGACTTGGAACAGGACGTGGGAAAGGGACCTGGTGGGGCAGGAGAGGAAGGGAGGAGGCTCAGATCTTCTTCGAAACCAGGAGGAAGAGCGAGCGAGGAGGAGAGACGACAGACATCGTTTGTTTGTTCGTTTGGGTGTTTGTTTGTATTGTATCGTAGGCCATTCCTTCCCTTCCCTTCGTTTCTACACTCCCAGCGATGGCGGAAACGTGCAGCTCGTAGGGCTCCGCTCTGCCATTGCCTCTCTTCGCCTCCCTTCCTTCTCGCATTATCCCTTCTCCCCTATCGCTTCTCGCTTCTCTTTTTCTGCTTCCATGCTCGTTCGGAACTGGCTATTATCGAAAGGTTTGTGGTTGTAACCGTTTTTATTTATTTATTTTTATTTTTATTTTTTATATATTTATACTTTTTTGGTGAAATTTCTTTTTGTCATAGGCTAGCTTCGAGGATTTTAGAAGCGGGAGATAATGGCGTTTGTAGTATTGTAGAGTTTTGTTTTTTTTGTAAAAAGAAAGCTTTTAACGTTAGGTGAGTTGAGTGAAGTATTTTGGTCCGTTTTTTGTGCGTCGGAGGGATTAGGATTGAGGCGTGCGGTTAAGGAGGAGGTTGGGGGTTATTATTGGATTCGATTGGATTGGTTAGGCCGTTGTGGTTCGTGGTTTACAGAATCCGAGAATGCTTAATGTGGAGAATACGGGTGTAGAAGGCGAGGATAATCCTTACGACATCTTGGAGGTTGATCAGGTTCTTGAATCTCACTCGAAGAGGTTTAGGCGCAGGGAGTCTGATCAAGAATTTTCCCCGGCTTTAGAGCAATCCAACCGAAGGAAGAAAGCTAAGCAGGTGTGAGAATTGGCGTTACCGATTCTTTTTCTATTATATATCCTGGCTCGCGACTAACTTCTAAAATTGTACTCGTCAAGTTAAATTGTAAGGAGTGCTTCTGTCCTGAGGTAGGGCAAGGATAAACGCATTCTTTCTAAATTATTAGACGAATCCAAGACTCTCGTGCACGTGAAAATACACGTAATGTCCACTTGCCACCGATGTGTCTCAGCTACAATGCGACGTATGAAAATTATTCCGTATTGGTGTCAGCTTATGAAACTCAACGTCTTTCAGCACATTAAATTCAATCTAACATTTCAAACTCGACGTTTTGCATTAAAGTTCACAAAACTGGAGCATTTGTCATGTGCTTTATTTCAGCCGCATGTTAGCAACGCTTTGTAATTACGGCTTGCGATTGTACTTGATTCTGATAATGCCGCAGCTTGTACTTTTATTTTCGAGATTGAAATTCATTTTCTTAAGTTGATAATTAAACGTGATTGGACTAGCCTTTTGAACTTCAGTGGAATTGTCAACGTCGTTCGAAGTTTGTATCATGAGAGGCTCCTAATAGCCTCGAACTGCTACTGAAAACTTGCAATAGAACTCAAGGTCATCATTTGTAGGGATTTGTACTCGGCGTTCCACAAGCTGTCAATTTGCGATATAATGAATGTTATAGAGGGAAAATTTTAGTCTGTAAATTGGACCAATCGATACATGATGTATGACACTACCAGGATGCTCTTGGCTGGTCATTTTTACTGTAGCGCCATTGTAGATGACTACTTAATGGACCTGACGTGATGGTGTGGCATCATGTACAGACAGGTGGTTTCAGAGAAGAGATGGCGCCGCGCGGTACTAATGTAAGCAATATTTTCCTCTTTCTCATGAATACTTAAAGGCGACCTTAGAATTTTTCAATCTTTTCGATTGGTTTTGTAAATTTCTGCTGGTTTGTAGATACAACATCGCTTCAAGCCAGAGCCTTTAATATCTCAAAATAATACAAGAATTGAAGTAATCCACTAATTATTTTCATGTACCTTCTTTCATACATCTTTCTCTCTAACTGTTCAAACTTGCGAACAGATATCTCTAGGATTTTACCAAAAAATAAGTAGAATTTATACATTTACTTTTCAGAATCGAAATTTGGCATTGAATTTTAGAAAATATCTTCTGCAATTAAGAACCTGAGAAACATCTTACTGTCCTAGCGAATGGTTCTCATGCAATTTACTTTTTGTATATTAGTGCGTGAAGCATGTCTTGCAATGGTAGTTTATTTACCTGTGCGGCAGAATCTTTAAGGGTTCTGGGTTACTGGATCCTCCTGCGAAGAAAAGATGAAATACAACCTTGATTCTAGCGGACATTGTTGTCGGCCTTAGTTTCTTAATCTTACGAACCGCGTCCACGATCAGATCCTTTTTCCTGGAAAGTTGTGCTAGATTTAATGTCTCTTTGAGCTTGTCTCTCTGCAGGTCATTGACGAGTTCGTTGCGGTTGAGGAACTTCATGCGTTAAGCCCCAAAGATATGAGCTCTCTTCTACAGGAAGAAGAGTCACTTGTATTGAAACTAAGCTCTGCAAAAGGAGTAATATTAACGGTAAGCGCTCTCTCTTTCGATTATCTTAAGGATGCTGATAGTTTTAGCATGTATCCTCTTTCGTCTAGATTTTTTTGTTAATTTTGGGGGTAGTGCTTCTGTCGTGGTGAAGAATTTTTTTCTTTGAAATTATTGCTACTGCAAATGCATCATAAATTCTCCTAGGCTTACATGTATCTTTTTATTGAAAGCGTAATTAGTTGAACGATATTCAACGTCAAATTTATTTCTACATGTTTTGAAACTTGGTGCCATGAAAGGCACATACCCAAGTCTGGTTGTCGTTATTCATCAAACTGATCATGTATGGTCATTGATGAAATGATAAAATTCAATTGAGACTATCTGTCTCTGATTTGTCAGGAATTAGTTTGCTTAGTCGATGGTCTGTTTGCAGGTGGATGTGGAAAAACTAGCTAGCTGCCTTCCTTTACATCTTATGGCATGTGTTGCTTCCAGTAGCAACGAGCCACGGCTGCGATACTGGCTACGTTCTGTGCGCTTACTTCACACATTGAGTTCCTTGGCTCATGGTTACCCTAAACTTGCACAGGTATGCTGTCTGAATGAACTTTGAAAGTTCTCTCGACAGATTTTTCGTGGTTGGTCGTCCGTTCTTTGTAAAGTTCCTCAATCCTTATTTTTCACTTTGTCGTCGCTTTAGATTTTTGTTATGGTTCCAAATTTGTATTGCACAGAAAGAACCCTAGCAATTAGTCTGTCGTAGTTGTGAGTTTCATGCCTCGTCGAGTCTCTTACTGCGTGTCGGTCCTTGTGGATATAGTACGCCTAATCCCATCTCTTCTGACGCACTATCATGAGAGCAGCTTAATTTGCTATTTAGTTTTAGTGCTTGACTCTGTTCATATATCCAGATAAGGCGTAAAAGCTGACGGTATATACTTCATGCTTTTGGTGATCCAGGTACTGCTACAGGACGTGAAGATAAGAATGCAGATTCTTGATCTTGTCACCTACATGCTTGTTGTTTTAGCTAATATGGAACAGGTTACCATCTATCTTATTTTCCACCTCATGAGTATTTGTTGATAACTGGGTTGTGTTTCTTTCTGTTTTATGTCGCATCTTGTTGTGAGGTTTTTTGGATTAAGTACTCAATTTTTGGCAACCTAACATATGGTTGGGTTTTTCTTTCGCTTCCTTGGCAAGGCGTCACTGGCTATCTCCTTGTGATGTATCGAGCTGGTCAAAGTGGTCTCATTACGATGAAAGCTACAAGAGTTATGCTGTTTCTGACAGATCCTTTGTAGCTATGTTTCAGCTTCTGTGTAATCTATTATTGGTTTTGGTACATGTACAGGAGGGTCGAGGTGGAGGCTTCATTGCAGTGCTTCACGCTGCTTCAGTGGCTTGTAGTTTATACCTGTTAATGGCTTTTATCAGCCATGATTGGTTGGACATTGCCCATGTCCTCCTTGATCACCCAAAGGTACATCCACACTTTGTTATTTACGGCGCAGCGTTGTGTAGTTTTTATTATTTAGATACATAAATAGATAGATAGATTGTCTTTGTGTTAAACAAGGACGGTGAGAAAATTCTGTCAAATTCCATCCTGCACATGACATATGATCACAAGAAACAGTCGAGATCTTCCTGATTTAATGCCCTTTTAGTTTGATTTCGTATGCTAAAGTGCGCAGTATCTGTTGTTAGAAATAGTTCTTTCTTTCAGTACTGAGTTGACACTTGTTTTGCGCTGCATCCACTTCCGGCGGTTTGCGATCAGGTAGACGTCTTCATGGATGCCGCCTTTGATGTCGTCAAACGAGACATTGTCCTTCTTCAAGTGAAGTTGCGCTCTCTCAGTATCAAGCTCTCTGCGAAGAAGACCACATTTGAATCTGCAGAGCGCGTAGCTCAAGTGACTGCATTGCAGTGCGAAGCATCACTGCAAGTGCTTCAACATCTTTGTGTTGCACCTAATTTTAGGGATCAAGTACTTGGTCACAAGGTCAGTTTTTCTTTTAAGTTTTTAGCGAAGTTCTAACTTCCAAATGTATAGCTCCCTCTTTTTTTTTGGCTTTTTAAAAAAACTAAATCAATCACAAAAACAATAATTTTAATCTCAATGTAATTGCTTCATAGTCCTTTCACGAAGAGTGCTGATTCCTGTCTTTTACTTGCTAACTGCACTAGGAGCTTTGCAAAAACGGTGGCATCTTGAAATTAGTTTTGGCAGTATTGAAGCTGCAACTTCCGCCTGTATTTTCAAATTCCAAATCCCTGAAAGCAACCTTCTCTCGCTCTAAAGCCAAAGCTTTGGTCATGGTGAGTACTCGTGACTACATTACTCAAGGGTGCTTGCGTGCTGACTTTCTAGTTTCTGTCACGTCTTTGTACTATCACGTTGTCTTTGTTGATATTCATTCTAGCATATAGAATAATGTTGGCAAATGTTTATATATTGCCATTGTAAACCATTCTATTTAGATGGTATTGCCTAGCTGCCTGAATAATGATTTTAATGACCTAAGGATAATTTATATTTTGGCCCCCTTTGGAGCTAGTTTAGCAATCAGCAGCTCTTGAGCATCCTGTTTCCGGAGGCTGATACCTGAATGTGCCTCATTGCTGTGTCAGATGTTGACATTCTGCGAATCGGAGCAGTGCTCATTCTTGGATGAAGTGGCTGCTGAACCAAATGCCATGCAGCTTGCAGAGCAAGTTGCACATGAGGTAAGCAATCCATATCTCTGTGCAGTTTGTTGCGTGACATTGCAGGCTTGCAAGACGAACAAAGCCCTTAAATCTCAATTGAATCATTGTCCATTGTTCGTCTCTCATAGCTCATTGGAAGTTTAAAAATTCATCATGGGCTAATGTTTTAGTCTATCATCATAACCCATGAGTTGCACAATCGAGAATCTCAGTTCAGAATGTATATTTGTGCGTACTTCTGATTGAGGCTATTTAGCGTTTTACCATTTGCAGGTACTTTTGTTAGTGAAAGGTGCTCTGCTGGAGGACCCTAGACTTATCGAAGATGAAGAAGAAGAGAAAAAGAATCCCATGGGGTTTATGCACATCACTTCTTTGCGCCTAGCTGACATATTCTCTGATGATTCGAATTTTCGCAACTTGGTGATGGATCAAATTGTGAGTGGATTCTTTATTAAAATATCTTTTGACAGACTCCAGGTCCACCATGATAACTTGTTTTTATAGGATTGATTGTCGGCCAGTTTAACTAATGATCCTTTATTGAGCTTTATGTCCTCTATTTAACTTTCAAACTACGATCTGCGAAATTATTCTGCAATTGATCTGTTTTCCACCAACATGTGAAGTAGCGAAACACTTGAACTTGATCGATGTTTTTTCACTTTTTGCAGGCTCCTGATTTGGCATCTGTACTAGCAGTTCATCCAACAAAGTTTCAAGAACGTTGGTGTGGAGGTCCTGTTGCTCGAGAATTGGCAGTAGGAGAGCAGGATGCATCGTTGATATTTGACCCGTTTGAAGCTGCAGGAGATGCAATGGCAGCTGCTGCTAAGGTTGGTGCAGGCGTTTGTGTTCAGGAGGAGCCTTGCAATCCCCCAGACTTCCAGATCATACCTTTGGCAGCTACTGCTCATCAGACTCGGGCAGCCTTGTTGGTGAAATTGTTTGCTAACTTTTTCTGTTTCAATGCCGAAGTTTGCCCAGGTATGCTTTCATCAGAATACATGTTCTCTTCAGCACAACTCATCCTTGGATCAGATTGGATTGTATAATATTTACAAGCTCTAACTAAAGATCTTTTGCATTATATACGTGGAAATCTTTCTTCGACTGAAAGGTCATCCATGGTTTCACACAAGCTCTTCAGAAGTGTGTTCCTTAATCTTTAAGAGACTTCAAAGACTTAGTACCACGAAATGCTTGCTGGCTCATTTCGATTATGAGTACAACCGTTATATCCGGATGCTGTGTTTTTTCTTGCAACTCAGTTCTGGGCAACATTCGCATAGAGTTTCCTGGGATCTGTGTTGGCAAATCTGTTGATCTACATTTCTTATTAGCCTGTCAATTCGAAGATCTTTTCAGGTCTAAGTGTGCCAGGACTGTATTGGCGTTATTTATCATCACTAAAGAAGGTCCTTCTTAATGCAGCTGATGAAAAGGACCGGTTTATGCATACGTTTTTACGATACCTTCGCGAAGGACCTTTAAATCCATCTCATCCCTTATTCTTTTTAAGTTATGAGCGTACAGCTGTTCGAATCTGTGAGAATCTCCGTAAGTTTCTGTCCATGCCTTTGATGGCAAGTCCAGTTATCAACTTCTAATCTTCAAATAAGCTGTTGGGTTGATTTTCCAAACCAGATATTCAATTGGTTTCGGTTCTTACGTTACATTTAGAACACTACCCTGTTGATAGCCTGTCAGGGCATTTCTTAATTTCCTGGAAGCACCAGTGAAGGATGTAGTGACCTTGACCTTTGACCTATTCGAATAGGTTCATTCGATTACATTGTCACGTGTACCACTTAGAGCCTCTCAATTTACAATTTGGTGTGCCGATTGCAGATACGCTGTATGACTATGTGCTGACTCTAACATCAGATACGGTAGTGGATGATGATCTCGTTCTAGTCAGGTAAAATTTATCTTGAAATGGCCTCCAAGATTTCTTCCTTTCAAGATCTTTGCATTGAAGGTGATTGCAAATTTTTAACACCTCCTGATGAATTATTCCACTTGGACGGAAGGTTCTCTTGGGTCTTTAGTTCTTGGAATGGCCGTTAACTTGGTAATAGCTGTTCAGCGTGCTGCACTTCGATAAGGACGGCTTTTCTGAACAAAATGAAATCAATTTCTTTTGAAAAGTACTTTCTATATCTGGGTACTGTTGATTATACGCATTTTCTGCGTTCGATTATTTTCTAATCCAGTGTATCGGTTTTAATGCAGTGACTTTGCAGAGGCTCTTCATCATCAAATGTGCCCATCTTCCGTTAGTGTCGCGGTATGTTCTTCTTTACCGACGCACCGCTTTCTACTTTGTACGTGCTTCAGGATGTAACATTATAACGCATTATAACGCTTACAGTTCATAAGGTGGCAAGAATCAAATAGCTAATTCAGAATCGACTCATTAACAGAATCTCTTAATATTACTAGCCTTATTTTGGCGATTCACAAAACATACCAAATTCTTGCTGGACCTGGTTCTTGTAGTTGCTTAATCCGGGCAGCTATTTGCTGAGTCAATTGTAGGGCTGTGGATCTGCATCAGACACAAGATCAGATCAATTATCTTCAGTGTTCCAAGTTCGTCAACAACCCAAAAGTTTGAATTGATTCATGTAAGAAGACTGGAACCAAAGTAAGGCCTACGTAAAAGCACCTAAATTCTTAACGAATCATCCTAAACCCAGCCTACAGTGCCCGGTTAAGGAACAGCAAATTAATAACCCACATTGAATACTCTTTGGGATGCATGCTGATATTTAGGTCCTGCCGTGAGTGAGCAGGATGCTCCACTGATGAGCTTTGTCCGTGATGGACACGAACAAAAGCTGTTACAATGGAAGAATGAGCGAGAGCAGTCAGAACGCTGGAATCGATTGGAACAGTCTAGGCAGTCTGGCAATGACGAAATGGCTGGAGCTGAAGTTGCAGTGCAGGCGTCGAATGAGTCGAAGAAGACCGAGATGGACGAACTAGTCAAGGTAAACTGTGCGGGTTATCTTCTTAAATTTGGAGCTAAAGCTGCACATGTACATTGCATTGCTTATCATCGACATAACTACTTAATGGCCTAAGGAGCCAAGCGATTTTCACGTGTTCTTAGTACGGAGAGTAGGTGTTTTTAGAACTTACGCATGCCAGAGGCAGTAATATGGCTGATTGAGTCTTCAGAATGCATTTGCGATACAAAAGTCTTCCTCACCATCGTCTCGCATAAAATCCTTGAGACGGCCTTACCACTAATGTGCCGATATTATTTGCGTCTTTATTATTTTTTGTGTAGTATGCATCATATTCACACTTTTAATGAAGGAGCATACGTCTGCAACAGGATAACAAGAGGGTTGGTCTTTCCTTAGGGGAATGAACTGCCTTTTACTATCAGCTGAGGAAACGTTGGTATTTGCACAATTTGCCTGGTCCTTAAAGTTGCCTGCGGAAAGTGAACAAAGTCTGTTCAATAATGCTTAAATGGACGTCATGCTGGGTGCGCCTACTGAAGTTCGACCTTGTGGGTCATTCGATAGGTGGAGGAAGTTCCACATACTTCAGGAGAAGCTACTGGGCATGAGATAGAAACTACTCCATTCGCAACGATGGTGGTGAAGTCGGAAGGTGTGGATCAGCATTCCATTCAGCATGATGGACCCTCTCAGGGTGACGTCATTGCCCTCCAGCACGTTTCGATGAAGTTGGAGAACCAGAAAAGTGAGATAGAGACTGAAATTATGGTGGTACATGAAGAGGGTGAATCGGGAAGCGCCAATTTCACAGAGCATGAGGATGCAGGAAGAGGAGAGCAAGAAAGTGAAGGGGTGAATTTTGGTGGAATGGTGACTCCAGCGTCAAGAAGGACCAGTAGGGATCGGGAGCCTTATAGCAGCGAACATGGGGATGAATCTCAACCCAAGAAACGTAAGAGGAACATTATGAGCGATCAGCAAGTCAATGTGATGGAAGCGGCTCTTCAGCTTGAGCCAGGAATGCAACGCAGTCCAAAGTTGATCCAGCAATGGACGAATCATCTGAATTCAATTGTAAGTGTGTTTGGGTACTTCCCCGTATCTTGGTGAACATAATATCTCGTATCGTCTGCTAGATGTCATTAAAATAGAACGTTGATGATATACTATTGTGGTTAAATACTGTGCTTGTAGCTTTTTTGAGAAAGATTTGTACCGTTTTTATCTATTTCAGGGTCCGGAGGTAGCATACCATCAGCTAAAGAACTGGTATGTCATGTGATGACACATTTGCTCTCTATTAGAGTCGAAAGTTACACTTTCAGGCTTTTGACTTAAGAATAAAGTTGCCATGTTCTCTGTTGCATGGTCTGCTGCTTGTGAGACGAGACGCTTCCACCAGGCACTACATTCATATGGTGTTAGCGTGGAAAATATTGACTTGCATAGGTTTTGATATCATAGTTTAAGCTTTCTCGGGTCTTTTGGTCTTCATAGTTTTTGTAAGGGTGGCGATTCAGAACCTGATAAAGCCAGAGACTGACGAGTAAAGGAATTTACGAGTCCCAGTCCGTAGTACCATCTCATTCATTGATTCATCCTGGAGTATGTTGTTGAGAATGTGCGAGAAATTAGCTCTTGACCTCACATTCTAGTGGGATGTTTCATCGTGGGTGGGTTTGTTTCATTGCGTGGAACTTTTCTTACTCTGAAAGTGCTGTATTTGTACTGACAGACAGTTGGTTTGCTGCAGGCTAAATAACCGAAAAGCCCGTATAGCTAGACAAGAGCGTGAAAAGCAGCGCCAAGAAGAAGGGGATGTCCTTGTGACTCGATCTGAAAAGTCCCGCCGTGCTCGATCTGTGGCCTCGGATGACATGGATAGTCCTGCTGAAGCTTCGTCTCGATTGAAAGATTACGATATAGATCAAGGAGACGCGATTCCCCTAAAATTATCCCTTCAAGTTTCCAGAACACCCTCAAATGCTGGTAGTGATGGCGAGCCTCACAATTCTAGTAGTAGTTTGGTCAAGTGGAAGGTTGGTGATCATGTGAGCTTGCGAGGTAAGGATGCCGAAGAAATGGCTGTAGGAATTGTTATCCGAGTAGAAGGCTCCTGGCAGGGACATATTCTAGAGGACGAAAGTCTGTGCTTAGTGCAGGTGTCAGAGCTTAAGGTAGCCAGGACCACGAAACTCCCATTCCCTTCATCGAAGGCAGGTTCTTCGTTTGAGGAAGCTGAAACCTTACTGGGTAAAACTGTTGCCACCTGGGATACCGAGCATATGTGTATGGTGGCAACCACGTCTACACCATCACTCGTCTAAAGAGCGGTAAACTCTACGTCATGAACCCAGCTGTTCAATATCCTTTTTTGTACATGGTTTTGTGCACATGACATGTACATATTTAATAGATACAGCTTTGGAATGAACACAGCTTGATAGACACAGCTTTGTGTTGTGTAATATTGTGACTTATTTTGTCTTGAGAGCTGAAGGTTGGTTGATTTTATACAATTCTTTAGTATATATATATATATATATATATATATATATATATATGCAATGAATTTACAAAGATTGACCTTTAAACATACGTCATTGAACCCCGTATTGAACTTGTCTAGCCTTTGGACTGTGGATAGAAAACAAGACATTGTGGATCATGGCATGGCGAGTTTGATTGCTTTGGCAGAACACCTGGCCAGCTTGTACTTGGTGTTTTGATGATGAATACCACTAAAATAGATGATCATTCACATGGTGGCATTCAAGCAAATGGTTTCAATGTCTCTTGCTGTCTTTGAGCATGGATTGTGCTTGGGGGCAATGGGTGGGGGAAAATTTCACCCTTGTGTTTGCAGTCTGCCTTTTATAAAGGAGTGCATGGGTTTATTTGGGGTATAAGAGGTTTTGAATTTGCTTCCTTGTAAAGTGATTCATTGGATTTTCTTTCTGTATGGCTGTTGCATTATGAGACAAGTATCTTCAGTTTGGCTCACCACATGCGTGCTTGTGGCCTAACAAGGTGAGTGGGCAAACCAAGTAATTCTAAACAAGACCAAATTGTTAAATTTAATGAGCATCGTCTACAAACTTTCATCCACAACACATCCTCCCTAGATATTTCGATGGGACTTCAACATGTTTGACATGACCAAAGTCCATAACTCGCATTGAGTGACATTCTTGATGAAAAAATAGTAGAAACTTCCCGCATGTTGGAAAAAGAGATGTATTGCTGCTGGTTGAGCTATAGGAGATCGAATCACCTGTTTCAACTCTGACCTCGAGGGTTGTCCACGGTGTTGTGCCGGAAGACAAAGGGGCTTGTTGCTTGCAAAGAGACCTCGAAATATTCACCAGCATAGCTGATGTGGAGTGAATTTCGAAGAGAGTTATTGATTTTATGCAACTGTGTGTAAGACAGTTTCAACTTACAACCAAGTCGTTGGAATCAACACTGCGGTGCATACAACTAAGTGATTGTCATCGTCTGCGTTTCTGAACTCTTCGGGGTAAGCGGAGGGACATGGGGGAGCCGAGGTCTCGAGTTAGGGTGAGGTCCTGACCAGCGGGGTCCCATTTCAACGTGCTGTACCAATCGATCTCAGGACTTGATCGAGGTGCCGGGACTAGTCGGGTGTGGTTCCAATAGCCACGTCATCAGCCAAGTCAGCAAAAACTCATAGTCAAGGCACTTGGACTAGTGTAGTGTCTGTAGAGTGAATCACTATATGGATTTAAGCTATGACTTTAAGGGGAATGTTAAATAGACTTAGGCTTTTACTAAATTGACACACCCATCCAAACTATTATGAAAAGAAAGAAAAAAAAAAAATGATCTCTATATTTATTTCTCCATTATTGGATCCAAAACTAATGAAAACCAACCACATTCATCATGATTATCATATTCTTCATCATGGGTAGGTTGATTTAGTAAAAACTTGGGTCTATTTAACATTCCTTTATTTTAATTTGTAGTTAAACTTATCTTTTGGGAATATTCCTCACATTATTGTTTTGTTTGGAGTGGAATGTTTTGGAAGTATCAACCACAACTCAAAATGTTAAATATAGCACAGAATGTAGTGCAGGAAGAATGAATGGGATATGTAAAGCATATGAAACAAGTGATGTTTTTATTGTCTGGTACATGGATACCCAAAGTTGGAATTGATTAAAAACTAATTATCCTAATCTTAATTCTAATCCCAAGTTACTCCACAACACTGATAGACTTTATTTTGGCTACTGAATAGGCCAACAAGGTTTTGTAAGATGATTGTGAATGAAAAATCAACAAGTTGACAGCTAAAAGGAAATGAATTTGTGAATGAAATGAATATATATATATATATATATATATATATATATATCTATATATTAAAAAACCAAAAGATTGAGTTTTGAAGGTGGCATTATTTTATTTTATTCAAAATAATAAAATCCAACATAATTATCTAGTCAGCAAAAAAAACACTAATGGAGTTAAATTAGTATACGAATTAAAATTTCAAATACAAAGTGATGAATGTTAGTTGTAAAAAACAACAATAATAAGGATTGGAATAATTTGTCTCACTCAGATAGCATCAAATATCATATAGGAATTAATACTGATTTTTATTTTTATTTTTTTGTAGCAGGTTCTTCTCATAATAGAATGAAAATAATCATTTAAAAAGGTGTACAAGAAGTAGATTGTTTTGAAAACAATAGCTTAGAATATCTAGAATATCAGTCAACAACTTATTAGAACGATATTTGTAAGAAAACTTGGAGCACAGAATTGAATGATAATCCAAGACATCAAAATATCATGACTTTTTCATGAGTGCCGAAGCTTTTGTTGTACAACTGCAGATTGCATGTTAATCCACATTGTGTATCCAAGTGTGGTTGGCAATTTTCACATTGTTATTTGTAACACAAGGTTTATGTCTGTGATTTTGACATGTTAGAAGATGCCAATCATTCTTTTAGGTGTCCTTTGACATCTACTTGGTAAAACTTATAAATAAACCACATGTCAATTGTTGATTGATAGTGTGTTGTATTGTTCTACTTGTCGCAATCTTAGTAGGTAGTTTCACATACAAACATACATCACCATTCATCTCTAGAAATGTCCTTCAATGGCTTAGAGTTCACAAAATAATTGTTTGAAGATGTACTTTACTCAACAATAATGACCAAGTCTACACACGTAAAAAAAAATCCTCAGTAAAGTTCTTAAGTGGAACCACGCATTGACACAGTAAATATACATGATTTGGTCAAAGAAGCTCAAAACCTTTTTCCATACCAGCAATTCTTTTTGGAAGCTCAACTTGCTAAAGGCAAATCTTTGTAGGATCTTTGAAAGTAATTTTAAATGAGGTGCTAAATGAAGCATTAAATATGTATCACATCCCTACTTGATATGCCAAAAACTACTGGTTTTGTACTTGGATCTTCACCCTGACCTGTAACACCATATAGCAACAATTAGATGAAACTTCCATATTGCTATATAAGTCATTATGCCTTTTGTTAAATCCAATGTGGTTAGAGATCTACTAAATTATACTTGATACTTTAAAAGTGAGTAGGTTTTTATAGTTCTTAATAATTGAGCAATTTGACAATCTATTGGTATTTGTACTAAAATATGTTATTATAATTAAGCCATATGTACACATGTGTGTGCACATAAATATTTACATACATATATACATAAATAAAATGTTGTTTTGATATACTTAAGCAATAAAATTAACCATATTTACAAAAATAATAATCTTATAGACTGATTAATGACAAAGGAATATTGTTGCTTTGCCACAATCATAATATTTGTGTTTTTGTTACCCAAATGCCAGACACAAAATCATCATAAAAATACCAAATGCCAAAGTGGCGAAACTACAAATGCACAACCACACCTTTGAATGAATTCTCTCCAACAAGATAATCCAAGTTAATCATTGAATCATGGTTTCTTTCTACTCAATCCCCCCCATAGTGAAGGTTTGGGAGGAATCAAAACAATCCTAATCCCTTCAACAGACTGGGCCCCATGTACCCCGAAAAGATAATATCTTCAACGCAATTCCCAGTCTCAGACACTATCATGAAAAGAAGAAAATCGTTCATATAACTTATCGAAGTGGAGCAATGCAAGTTTCAATCAGCGAAGGGTGGCCTTTAAACTTATCAGGATAGAGAGAGAGCTTCGTGATGCTTTGACTGAATGGAGTTGTACGTATTGAGGCACAAATTCGTGCTGCAGCAATAGGATGGTGAGGTAAGGATGGATCTCCAGGAAGGTGCAGTGCCAGATTCTGGCACTTCAGCACTGCCTGCTTTTTCCTGAAACGATCTTCTCCGTCAAATCGACTTGGAGAAGTGAGAACACATGGCAAACAGGAAAGCGCGCGCGAGAGAGAGAGTGAGTGAGTGCTTCCTGCAATCTGTCGATATCCGAAGGGACGCACAACCCGAGGTAGCTTTCAACCACCTCGAAAGGATATCTGAAGCTAGTTCCCGACATCACGTACGTGTGTTACTGAGCGTGTGACAATGACGTGGGTTTCTAGTCGACTGGTGTTCACGGAGCATCATCGTGTGGCTGTTGCAGCGCGAGAGAAAGTGAGCGAGCGCCCAAATGTTAAAATTTTGCCATCGGACCACTTAATGAGTGCAATAACTTCTTTTTGCTTTCGTTTCGTTTTTGGTGTTCTTGTTTTTGTTTGTGTTGTTTTGTTGGTGTTTTTTCACTGTTCTTGTTCTTTTTGGATCTCAGACATCTTTCACTGTTCACGAATTGATTCTCAAGTAAACACCGGCAAGACGGCTCGCATGATCACCACCCAGATTCCCTGATAGCTTCCACGCAACTGCTAACGCAACTGCCGTAGGAACAATCATACCGAAAGAGTGGACGCTCGGAGGCAGTTTCTGAGCCATCATGTGACATCGTTCCGTGCGTGAAAGCAGCACAAGATCAGACAGACGTCCAGGACGCTACCGAATGGCCACCACACACGTCAATTGCGGGACCATCAGAGTGGGGCACATATCATAGGGCATGGATGGAACTCAACTTTCGAACCAGATGCTGCCAGACGCTGTTGCAGCAAGAGCTACCAGAATGCAAAAAGTGGACAGGGAAGGCCCCAAGGAGCGCCTTTCATCTCATCAACAGCTGTTGAAGACCCAGTGCTTGCAAGAGAACAGCACCAGAGCTTTAGTACGAAAGAAACCTGTGATGGGCGGGGGTCTCGGCGGCCGCACAAGGCGGCAGCCTCTCGATCAGCTTTCCCTGCAGCCCACCATGCTAGCGACGACGACGCCGACGCCGACACAGATCCGGTGAGAACCTGTCATGACAGATACCCTGGTTGACACCCTGATTCGTGTTCTGAAATTGAGAACCTCTTTCCCGGGTATACAGCAGGTTGCCAGCTCGCGCAGATAATGGACGGTGTGAATGAGGTTAAATCTCATCTGTAGGAATAAACATCACTGTGCGTGTGTGTGTATTTATCATTAAATTTATGAGTTAATTTAATTTAATTTAAAATTTTTATTCCGACTTTAATGAAAAAAAATTCCGACTAGATTATTCCGTAGTATAGAACTAAGATTCAAAATGCATAATTAAAAAGAGAAAAAGAGAAAGAAAGTAAGAAAAAAAGGGACTGAATTTTTTACATATTATTGTAGTACACACATCTTAATTATGCTTTTACTTTAAACTTTAAATCCTTGATAGTGTATCTTTTAAAGGTAGTTCATAAACATTTATCTTTGAATTGCAGTTAAGTTGTTTAAGTTTCATAAGATACAAGTAACATACGATGATTGGTAATTTATTGGAGTACTCAATAAATTGAAAAGCACTCCTTTAAGTCATTGAAAATTGAAAAGCTCAAGCAAAACTCGGTAAGTTTTGATAATTATATTAATTTTTTAAATTTCAATTTAAATGTTTTTAAACCATTGCCTTAAGATTCTTAAATTTATACAATCTACAACATTGAATATATGACTTTTAACTAGCATCTACAACTTCTATGGGAAGCATTTGACATTTGACAACTTGTGCTTTGTAATCTCATAACTTTAAAATATTATAATATTAAAGAGTATTAAAATAATTACTAATTGACAAAAAATACTTTAACAAAAAATTAGATGAAATGAAATGTTAACTATAAGGTTTATGTCCTTCTAAAAGTAATAGTACTGAGAAATACATTGCATCATATTCTTAGGTAAAAATGATGTATTATTTAAATGTCCAAATATATTTGCTTGTAATTTTTAAAACTCTAGTTGATATTTTTTTTAATAAAAAAACTTTATGTATCTTAATGTATAGTTATAAATACTAGTAATAATGTATTGATTTAAATTTTTTGGTTATGTATTTACAAATTTGGTACTAAGAGATTATACTTATTAATATAAGCTTTTGGCATAGCAATAAAGAATTATTGCAATCACCTAGTCTTATAGTATTTAATAAAATTCACTCCAAATATAAAAAAATAATATTTAAATAATGATATTAACAAAGATTTGACCAATTCAATACAATTGAATGTTTTTAAGTTGAAAAAATATTATTAAGAATTCTAAACTTAAAATTGATTTTTTAAAAAGTTTTTATAAATGAAGCTAAGTATCATGGATACACTATATAGAAGACCAAACAAGAAGTTGAACATAAAAGTTTCAACAAGAAAGCTAATAAGAACTTGATTAAACTAGATAAGTATATGATCAATACTAAGAAAGATGAGTTAAAACTCCAAAAGATGTGTTGTCAAGAGTGAGGATTCCCTCAACCTCGACTCCAATATATACTAGGTATTAGGAAGCTTCTTGAGAAGTTTTTAAGTTGCTTGAAGATGAAGCAACTCTAAGAAATTTCTCAAACAACTTCCTTATTCCTCTTAGAACTTTCTAGAATCTATTTGAATTTTTGCTTGATTCCAAGTGAAGTGTTTGCCATCTCAACAACTCTACAGAAACACCACTTGCAATGCATGTTATCTTATATCCAATAGAAGGGACTTCTCTATTTTCTTAATTTTTGTAAATATCATAAATTATTATAAAAATATGCAACAATCATATCTTATTTTGTAATCAATTTTATGTTAAAAAATCAAAAAAACTGTAAAAAAATCATTGCTATATTTGTAGCAAAAAAAGAAAGAAAAAGATTGGAGTTAAATAGAAATAAACAATTATTGCACGTACACACATGTAAGAGCTTGTTGAAGAAGACTTTAATTAATCAATATTTTGTGCACATCAAAGGGAGAATTTACAAAATTGGATACAAATAAATAAATAAATAATATATATATATGTATATTTAAATAAAATTAAATGTTAAATAGGGATAAAAATTAGATACAATAAATTAAATAAATAAATAAATATATGTATATATATAACATGGAGATAGATAGGAATGGGTAGATAGATACAACGACAGATAGTTGTGCGGTGTGCCAAATGGAGATAAATGAACAAAGGGATTCCAACGTGGCAAAACCCAAAGAGAGAGAGAGACATCGCCCTACAAAGAGAGAGCCACGCCCTCTCATCCCACTTCCATCCCAATTCTCCCTCCCTCCTCTCGCCTCTTCCTCTCGCTTCCCACGCTGCTGCTGTAATCGACATTGTGATTGCGTTGCGAGCGAGGGAGTGAGTTAGAGAGTGAGTGAAGAATCTTGTGTTTTTGTTCGAGGTCCACTGGATTCAGTTCTACTCGGAAGCAGTGAATTTGTCATAGAATAGAATCCTGGGAACCATCCCTCACCCTGGGCTGTTGCCATTCTGCCTCGCCAATGCTACCTGCAGTTTCGGTCTCCGCCATCTCGTTATTTTTTCACTGTTGGCGCTGCGAAGCGGCTCAGCGGATTCTGCGCTAGTGGGTTGTGTATAGTGAGTGATCTGTGCAAGGGTCGTATCAGCAACTTGTAGTGCGCTTGTTGCGGGATTGCGGCTACTGGATGCTTTAGGAGGTGACGTCGTGTTGAGGACTCCTTTGGTCGACGTGCAATGGTCATTTTGCGGATTTCCTGTGTCGTGAGCTCGGGATATTTTGTTTACCAGCTTCGACAATAGCTGTTTAATTGAGAACGTGACCTTGCACAAATATCTTGGTTTTCAGTGAGTTTTGGTGCACGATGATCTGAAGCTTGGTTCTTTGAGGCCGACGGCTGGAGATCGAATTCCTTCGAGTTCTACTAATTTCTAGTTTGCGACGTTCATTCTCTTCTACATTCTAATCGTTCCGAGAGAGGTGAAAGCAGGTCTGCGAGCCGCGGTGACAGAAAAAAAGTTGATAAAAAAATAAAAATATATGGGGCGATCATATTGGCTCCTCCGAAACCGATGGATGATGATGGCAGCTGGGGTGTGGATTATGTGCTGCAGTGGGGGCTCATACCTCTACGCAGACTACTCCGGCGCCATCAAGGATAACCTTCACTATGACCAGGAGACGCTTGACACAGTCGCCTTCTTCAAAGAATTGGGCGAGAACGTCGGTCTCCTCTCTGGTATCCTCTACGACGTGTGGCCCTTGTGGGCTGTATTTCTCCTCGGCGCTTGCCAAGTGAGTTCAGGCTATCTCAAAGCATACCTCTCTGTGTCAGGAGCCACAGCATCTCCACAGCCGTGGGCAATGTCACTCTACCTCGGCATTGGCGCTAATGGCCAAACATTCTTCATCACCGCCGTACTTGTCTCCCTCGTAAAGCGGTTCCCCATGTCGCGTGGGATGGTGATTGGAGTCATGAAGGGTCTCGTCGGGTTAAGCGCCGCTGTGTTGTCACAGTTTGCAAAGGCAATTTACCCGCAACACTCCACCTCGGACTCCTCCAAGATTATCTTGTTTCTAGCTTGGTTTCCGGCGTCGATCGTTGCGCTCTCCTACGTTTTCTTTTCGTTCCAGCCAACAGAGGAACGAGATAAGGATGGCAACTATATTGATCCAGAATGTGAGGAAGATGAGCCGCTGTTCTTATCAGTTATTGCAGGTTCCATGATATCTCTTGCTGCATTCTTGCTGACCATCATCATGCTGCAAAATACAGTGCGGCCGTTTCCACAGTTGCTCAGCCTTGGCGTTTGCTTTGTGATGCTTACACTCCTCCTATTTCCGCTCGGAGTCGTCTATATCTCAAGGATCAACACCAGCAGGTCACTAGGTAATGGCAACACTTTTAATGCCATGGCGTCTCTCTTGCCTGCTCCATATGCAAACAAACCATCCACAGTAAGTCCACCTTCGGTGCATCGATCGGATGATTCCTACGGCACATTTTCTCGCCACAGTACTCCCAATCTTGCGCGAGTTGACTCATTTCAGCGCCAATTTCCTGCTCGGGGCGAGGACCACACCGTTTGGCAAGCGCTTTGCAACCTCGATTTTTGGCTTCTGGTGGCCATATCCATGATTGGACTCGGCACAGGCCTCACCGCAATCGACAATGTTGGCCAAGTGGGCTCATCGCTGGGATACTCAGAGGCCTCAATCAATTCCTTTGTTTCAATGGTCTCAATCTGGAATTTTCTCGGTAGATTAGGAGCAGGCGCGTTATCGGAGTTTGCATTGCACGAGAAAGGCCTTCCCCGATCCCTGTTTATCATGTTGGCGCTTATGGTTCTCGCGCTTGGTCACACAATCTTAGCTGTCTCTTTCCCCGGTGCCTTGTACTTAGGCATAGTGCTAATTGGCTCGAGCTTCGGTGCTCATTGGTCATTGATCCCCACCGCAACTTCGGAGCTCTTCGGGCTCAAACATTTCGGCACACTGCTCAACGCGGTAACAATGGCGAGCCCCCTGGGGTCGTACGTCATGTCTGTCCACGTCGCTGGGTTCTTCTATGATGCAGAATCACAGAAGCAACACCCATCCAGACAAACCAGCAACTCCCTGATTCGCAGATCACTGCAATTGCTGCGGCCGATGAGAAGTCTAATCGCTGACAAAGTCTCTCTACAGAACCAAAGTAACATGTCCTGCACCGGCGCTGTATGTTTTCGCCTGACGTTCTTCATCATGGCCGGGGCGTGTGGTCTGGGCTGCATCTTGAGCGCGATCCTAGTAGCAAGGACAAGGAAGTTTTACACGGAGGTTGTGTATGAAACCTGCCAGTTGAGGAGGGCCTGCAGCGTGAGTAGGAGTCGTCATAACGACACGGAACAGCCATCCGACTCAACCGAGTCCGTTCCATTCGCATCAAACGTTACAACTTAGACTTAGCATCCTTTTTCGCACTGCAACTCTTTTCCTGTTTTTGTCTTTTTGTTTACAGCAGAGGAAGTGGTACCTTCCAGAATTCAACTGTCGGCTCCGAGTACAGCGAAACTTGAGAGGATACAGTTAACGCTCACTTTTTCCATAACTCGAATCTTCCACACGCGCTGGTTGACGTCAAATGGTGCAACTAGGGACCGAAGTGTTCGATGCTTGCTTGGTTCGATGGCAAAGCCGATGCAGCGATGCGCAGAAACAACCTCTTGGGGTGATTGGGCGAGACCTGAACAAGAGTTTTGAGCACTCGGGGAGCGCGAAATTGACTGGAGGTGATCGTTGCGTAGATGATCACCTGCGACCGCGCCTTCGACATGGACTGAGAATCCGAAGCTTTTGTGATTTCGTCGCAGAATGAATTGCTCCAGGTGCTCGTGCGGCGGCGGCAGCGGCCCATCGTCGGTTGAACAAGCCATGGCGAGAGTATCTGTCGGTAGAGTCCAAAAAAATCAACATGACATGTGCCTGCGGCACGAACGTGCCTCGTTTTGTCCGTCACGATGGCTTCGACGATGTGGATAAAATGTAGATATTGGTGGTATCGATCGTGAGGGCTACCATGGTTTTGTTATCTTGCTACGTGAAATTTCAATCAAATTAAAAATTAATTGAAAAGGATTTATTTCGTTAAAAAACATAGAACATTCAGGTTGGAAAAATTTGGAATAACTAAATCCAACTTTAAAGTGTCATTATTTATTTATGAATTTTATGTTGATAAATCTATTTTATTTTTAGTTTTATTTCTGTTTTAATCAAATTAATGATATTGTGGTATATACCAATGGATATACAAAAGATATATCTTTTATTTCTTTTAAGTAAATAAATATATAAAAGCTTCATTTTTGCTTTTATATATATATATATATATATATATATTATCTAACTAGGAGCTATTTGACAACGTTTTGAAAGACCTCCAACACATGTCCAACTTGAAGGAGAGATGTCTAATTTTTAAGACAATCTTCTTATAGTATATTGGCAATTAGTTTTGATATAACAATGAAGCAACCATATTTTATTTCCAATGTGGGATTGGAGTTGTTCCTTGCGATAAGCATATGTATTGATGTTTGTTGTTCTTGAACTTCTTTTAATTGTACCTTCATTGTTGTATGTAGCTTTAATAAAAAAATTGCTAATTTTTTTGTTAAATAATTATTAAATTTTAAAAATTTAAAAATATCAAGTTTTTTATGATAAGGATAATTAGTACAAAATGGTGTTTCTTAAGTAGAAAAATATGCCATATCATTATAAAAAAACTTTGCTAATAGCAAAAGAGTTGTTCAATCATCTTAATGGTAATTGATGGTACATCTCCAATACTAGTTTAATACTTAATTAACATATTCCATTTATCCAACAATTTACAGATGAAAAGCCAAAGATAATTTTATATCTATTTTCAATATTTTAAAAAGAATTATCCAAAACCTCAATACAAATTGAATCCCTCTATAAGATATAATATCTTTTTGTAATCTATAATAGTAATAAATATTATCAATGAAAAATTTAGTTTTTTATATTTTAATTTATTTATTTATTTTTACTAGTGATGGATTTTATACATGGTACAAAATGTGCCATCTTAGTGAAATGATTAACTATCACAACTGTAGAGACATAAGAACTTGAAATTAGAAGATCCATAATAAAATCCATAAAAATAAAAGTTCATAGTTGTATTGGTATAGATAGTAGGTGGAATAATTTGTAAGGATAATGTTAAGGAGTTTTTGATCTTGAATAAACATCATATGATTGTACAAAGTCTTTAACTACCTTCCTCATTTGATGCCACCAAAAAAATTTCAAGAGAATTTTCAAGATTCTTGTTGTATCCAAAATGGTTATTTTTAAAAAATTATGAATAGTTTAATGAACTCTTAATTGAGCTTCAATATCAAGGGTATCTATTATAATTGTTACTTTAATAATATGAATAGATAAAAATAAATAAAAATAGATTAATTTCATAATACCTTTTAGAAAAGCTTCTTAAAAGCTTGTTAGATGGTGTTTTGTCTTAACATATGTTTGTAGTTGATTGGTAAATTAGAAACTTGATTAACAAGCTCACTATGTGGCATTTATATAAAAAACTTGCTTTGCAAGTTAAGATACAGATCATGCAAAGTCAATATATTTTTGGAAGTCCTATAGAATGTTGCTATATAGATCTTAGGTAAATAGTATATATAGAGATAAGAGTGAAGCCTTCTTTACTCTTATCAACTCCTTTTTTGCTTCTAGTCTAGTTTCAAAAGTCTCTAGTTTCCTTATCTTTTGGCAATAGCCATTTCAGTTTCTTTTTTAATATACATGTCTCTTTATTTTTAATTTTTCATATTTCTTTGAAAGAGCATCATTTAATTATTTTCTTTTATTGAATACTTATCATTGATAAATTGAAAAGAATGCACTTACAATATTAGAGCTTTGTTTTTTGTTTTTTTTTGTTTTTTTATTAAGAGTAGATTATTCTTTTTCTTGATAAGACTTAAGTGTATTAGAAGTTACAAATTACCCTCTTTTAAATTGATATTGTCTTCAATTTTTTTTTTCTTTGTTTTTAAGTCTTTTCTTTTATTTGTCTTAAATAATATCACATATCTTTTCTTCTTCAAGTTTTATCATGCCAAAGTTTTTTGAAATAAATAGTACAATGGCACAAGTACAAGAGTAATTAAAGGAATTAATTCTTGTGATTTTTTGAATTTCGATATGAAAGTCACACAAGTGCACTTTAATGCTATTATAATTCAATGACAATGTCAACATCTTCTCAGCACATACATTTAGAAATAGAAGATATGCAGATTGATGAGATATGTTTCAAACCTGTTATTGAACAAAAAAAGAATTATCATTATTAAGATGGATTGTACTTGTATTGTGAAGAACCTAGGTACATTGCTTAACATTGTCCAAAGAAGCAACACAACTACAAAATGAAAAGTACAATTGTCAAAGAAGATAGTATATCAAAAAATGATTTTGTCTAGCTATAATAGGAACTATGTAGCTGGAATCTTGTACAATACCTAGTGAAGGTCCTATTCTTTCTTCAAAATCCTCTTCTTATTTTATAATAAATATTATTTTAGGACTTAAACATTACAAAGCCTCTATCTTATTAGATTTAAGAGCTTCAGTGCATTTCTTAGATAAAGAATTTTGCTAAAAGATATAGCATATCTTTAAAAAAGAAAACTAAACTTGTTCATATAGAAGTCATAGATGGTCATCTATTGTCTTTAAAAAATATTATTCATGAAACCCTTCATATAGAAGTAATAACTAATGGTCATAGTAGCTTTGTAATATTTAATATCATTAGATCTCCTTTCAATCTAATTATTTTAGGTTTATCATGGCTAAAAGAATATAATCCAAAAATACATCGAATTTCTTATAGTCTTGATTTTTTTTAAAGTATAATTAAGAGTATAGTTGATCAAATAAAAAGTCATAAGTCTAGTACAATTAAACTTGTATTTGTAAATGCAAGAGCTTTCTTGATGATACAAAAGAAGGATTTCCTTGTGTCATCTATGTTGCATCTATTTCTAATGGTGGAAAGATTTAAATTTGTATTTCAAGCCAATATGAAGATTTTCAAGATATATTTGAAGAGAAGAATGTAGATATTCTATTAGAACATCATCCCTATGCCTACTCAATTGATCTTTAAGAAAGAACTCAATTGCCATTTGGACCAATTTATAGTTTATTACAAAATGAATTAACCAGACTTAAGGAGTGTATTGAAGAAAATGTGGCCAAGAACTTTCTATGTCATTCCAAATCTTGAGCACGAGCTCTAATTTTATTTGTAAAGAAAAAAAGATGGATCATTATAGATGTGTATCAATTATTAAAGACTCAATAGAATCACCATCAAGAATAGGTACCTTATCTTTGATATTTGGACTTTTTGATCAGTTGAATCAAGCTAAAATCTATACAAAATTAGATCAACAAGGAACATATAATCTAGTATGCATCAAAGAAAGAGATGAATCGAAGACTGTATTTTGAACAAGGTATGGATATTTTGAATATAACATCATGCTTTTTAGACTTACAAATGCACCAGCACCTTTTCAACATCTAATGAATGATATTTTTTGAGTTTTTTTATATGACTTTATTGTCTATTACCTAGACAACATCTTAATATATTCTAAGAATATAAAAGAATATGAACTTCATATTTTTCATGTGTTACAAAAAATAAGAGATGTCAGACTCTATACAAAAAATAAGAGATGTCACTGATAAAAAAAAAAATATATTCTATACTACTCAAATCAACTTCTTAAGATACATCATTTCAAATGATAGACTTATGATGGATTTTAAGAAAGTTCAAATTATTATGGATTTACAAATCTCAAAAATGATAAAAAATATCTAATATTTTTTGAGACTTATCAATTATTATAAAATCTTTATTAAGAACTTCTCTCAAGTTGTAGCTCCACATTTGTCTTGTGAAGACAAACTTCAATAGAATCAAGAAGTAGAAGGAGCATTTGAAGCTTTGAAAGCAATCTTTATTTTTGTACTAATCTTGTATTTTTTTGACTTTTTTAAGCCATTTTTTATGGAAATAGATGCATTAGACTTTGCTTTGAATATTATATTATCACAAATGGGAATAAATGATAAATTTCATCCAATAGCTTTTTATTCAAGAAATTTTTTAGGAGCCAAGATCAACTACAAGATTCACAACAAAGAACTTCTTTCAATTGTAGATTTGTTTCAAGAGTGGCACCATTATTTAGAAAGTGCTTTTAATCTAATTATTGTTTATACCAACTAAAAGAATCTTAAATATTTTATGTCAACATATATTTTGAATCATTTCCAAGCTTGTTGAAGTATGTCTTAATTAAGATTTGATTTTAAAATTACTTATTGACTCAAAAAATAATAAGATTTATTAGAAGTCTTTTTTAGATATTTTTAATTTGCACCAAAAGAAAGAGATGCATCTTTTGATTAATAAAGATTAATTTGCTTGAAGCTTGAATACTTTCATTTTTGAGTAATAAAATCAACATTGACTATTGATTCAACTTTTGTCATGAAAATTTAATCAAGTATGTCCTCTAATCCTCTTGTTCATGATATCAAGAACCTTTCTTCTAAGTCTCATGATACTTCCAAGTTTGAGTTCAAAAACAACCTATTCTATTTTGAAGGATGCTTATCTATTTTAGAACGAGAAGCACATTTACATATTCTTTAAGAATGTCATGACTTTTCAGCGATTGGATATTTTGGATATAACAAGACTTTAGAACTTACATCTAAAGTTTGTTGGTTGTTACAAATGTGGAAGGTAGTGAAAGACTTTTTTCAATCATGTGATATTTGTTCAAGGTCAAAAATTCCTCGTCATCGATCTCACAGATTTTTTCAACCATTATTCATTCCAGAATAATTATAGTCTTTTGTTTCTATGGATTTTATCACGGATCTTCCAATTTCACATTCTTATGATTATATATTCATAATAGTAGATAATTTCACCAAGATGGCTCACTTTGTACTATGTACAAAAACTATTACAAGTGAAGAAACAACCAAGCTTTTTATTGACAACATCTATCGCTATCATGGATTGCTTAAGGATATTACATCAGATAGGAGAATTCAATTTGTATCAAGATTTAAAAAAGTATTTTTCAAGATTCTAAAAGTAGATATTAAACTATTT